AGCGGTATCCTCTATTCTTCTAGCTGCTCCAGGCTGGTCTGCTCATCCTTTCAAGTGGAGATTTCTCATCTCTGGAGATCTGGATGTGGTTCCGGTTTCTACCTATAGTTTTACGTATTGCAAAGGCTTCGCAAGAAGCCTCGTTCACTGGGTACGCTGTAGCCCCATTTTAGGTATTCCAATCAGTCATAGGCAGAAGATGGACTTGGACTTACAAGCCTTCTAGTGTGGTGTTTCTGACTATTCCTTTCTCTCCCTCTCCAGTGTCTACTCTGAGCTGCCTGGTCCGTGAAGCGCCAGTCCCCTTCTCTCCCGACTCACTTTCTTTAAAGATTTCAATTTTTAGTCTATCAATTCCTGGTGCCTTGTTCTTTGCTAATATGAATATGGTTGGATTTTTCAACAGTTGGATATCCACCTTTGCCAGCACCATTCATTAGAGAGACTGTCTCTTCCCTGCTGAATAGACTTTGACCCTTTGCTGAGCATCAGTTGTCTGTAGATTGTTGGTAGGTGCCATCGAGTCAGGTTCAAGTCACAGCAACAGAGCAAGACAGCGGCCAGCCCGGCGCCATCCTCGTGGTCATTTCTGTGGTTGAGCCCAGTGTGACAGCCCTTCATCTTGCGGGTCTTTCTCTCAATCACTGACCCTCTACTCTGCAACACAGTGTCCTTAGCCTGATTACATGTCTGAAGCACCAGCCTCACTTCTCTGCAGCATTCTAGCTGTACTTCTTCCAGGGCAGATTTGTTCATTTTTTTGGCATTCCATGGGATAGTTCATATGCTTCACAGTAACACTATAATTCAAAGGCATCATTTCTTCAGTCTTCCTCATTCACTGTCCAGCTCTGTGATGGGATTCGGGGGATTGGTTTATCACCTCAGATCACATTATGGGGAACCCCATGGCACAAAGTTGCTGTGAGGCAGAGCTGCAGTGTACATGCTATTGTCTCACAAGAGCCTCTAAAGGGGTCCAGTCTGGATGCTTGCTCTCTGGAAACCAGCGCGCAAGTGCGGGAGAAGCATGTTTGGCTGGTCACAGACAGTGGGGCCTGAGGTGAAGGTGGAGGGGCTGTGTTTCCCCTCATGGGTGCCCCTGCTGTGGGCAGGGAGCTGTCTGTTTAAAGAATCCTCCTCTCCCTATTGCCCTGGCATCAGTTCCTGTCGGACCACAGGGAGATTAAGCTAAACCCTCTCACAGCATCATGCTCTCTGCTCGCCTCTTCTCAACTGCATGTATCCCATCACTTCCACAGATTAGCTCTCTTTCTGTGCTCCTTTTGGGGTGCTGTCCAGCCAGGCCCCCAATGTCTGTGATGAGTGAGTGCTCGCCATGTTACTGAGAGAGAAAGTTCTCCCAGCTTCTGTGCCATCCCACTCCTCTGTTACCCTCCAGGGCTCACCCAGCACCTCAGCTGCCGTCCAGAGTTCTGAGGTTTCAGTCTGTGCTTTTTTACTTGTTTAGTGGGTTCACTGCTGGGCAGTAAATGGGAGTGTCCACTCACTGAAACCTCTTACTCCTTGTATCTCTGTGATGGCTAAATAATGCTGAGCACTTGATTAGTTTGGTGGCCATTTGAATGTCATCTTTGATGAAATATGTCTGTTTAAATCCTTTGCCCATCTTATGATTGGATTGTTTTCTTCTTGTGAAGTTGTCTAAGTCTTCCACGTACTATGGTTCTTAGAGTCTTATGAGCTCTGGTAGCGTAGTGGTTACGAATTGGGCTGCTAATCTCACGGTTAGCAGTTCGAAACTACCAGCTGTTCCACGAGAGAAAGATGAGGCTTTCTGCTTCCATAAAGATTTACAGCCTCGGAAACCCTGTGCAGGGTCGCTAAGAGTCGGAACCAACTCCACAGCACATAACACTGGATATATGGTTTCTGAAGATATTTTCTCAGTCTGTTGCTTACTTTTTAGCTTTTTTGGTAAAGTCCTTTGACAAACACATTTAAATTTTTTATGAGGCTCCTTTTATTCATTTTGGCCTTTGCTGTTTGTTTTTAATCCATTGTTAAAAGTTGGGCCTGACAACGTTGCCCCTGCTTTTTCTTCTAAGGGCTTTATGATTTTAGTTTGCACATTTAGGTCTTTAACCCATTTTGCATTTGGTTTTGTGTGTGGTGTGAGGTCACTGGTTACTTCATGAAGCATGAAATGAACTCACATGGACTCTTGGAGGTTCTGCTCTTGGTCTCTCTCAGGCCTGCCTCCTTCCCGTCACTGGCACAAGAGGTGGTCAGTTGCTTATGCGCTTCTGGGCTTTCTAGCCGCATAGTTTTTGAACTTGGTCTGCCATGGGAATCAGGAATCCCAGCTCTGCTGGAGGCCCCACACCCACGCTTGCTCTCTTGGGACTTGGTTTCCAGTGGCACTTGTCAAATGAGGTGGGTGGGGAGTCCTCTGGGAGGGGTGCCCTGGTTCCAGACCTGGAAAAGCCCGCCTTTTACAGCCTCAGGGCCCGGGGCCTGTTGGAGGCGGTGTTAGTGTGGCCTTGCACATGGCTGCAGTGCAGGTTGAGTGGCTCAAGGAGGTGTGTCTGCCAAGCAGAGTCTGTAGACACCTCTTGCTGGGACTGGTAAACCTGCAGAGACCAGGGGTGTCAGACCTTGGTGTCGCCCGTACCTTCGGCTAGGGGACTGCTAGGGGGTGGGAGGGGCCTGATCAGAGGCCTGCTGTGTTCATGGCCTGAGACAGTGCACCCTTGTCGCTGTCCCCGCAGAAAGACGGGGAGTTCACCCTGCACAGCCGGGCCATCCTGGAGATGGAGCAGCACATCTATGAGACCTACCGTGACTCCGTGAAGACATGCAGCATCTGCCATAGCCTCCTCATCCAGGTACTGTGGGCCGGGCTGTCAGCCCTGCTGTGTGGTGGTTCCAGCTCAGAACTTGGGCGCTGCGCACTGTCCTTGAACTGAGCAGGGGGAGACATCTCTGGGAACCTCCAAGGACAATGCCCCTTGCTGCTGCTGCTGCTCACACTAGAGCACTCCTTTTCCCTCCCTGCTTGCTCTGGTGCGGCTTTCCTCAGAAAGGCACTCAGTCTGTGGGAACCAGGTATGCGGGGAGCACTGTTCTCTGTTGCTCAGCATTTGGCCAACCAGCAGCTTTAGACCGCGTGATGCCCTTTCTGAGACTCGACAGGATTCCCGCTGGACTTGTGCTGGAGAGTGATGTCTCCCGTTCAGTTTTGCTTCTTTGCAGTTATAAACGAGGTGGCAACAAACCTTTGCAGTCACTTGTTGACTGCCTTCAGTTGAGCTCCTAGAAGTGAAGTTACTCGGCAGCATGCAGGTGCTTTTTCATAGCCTCAGACTCACACTGCTCCTTGCATTTCTGGTGCATTGTCACAGTCTGCCCCCATCTGCAGGGCCTGCCCCCCGCTGACACCCATGCTCCAGCCTTGAGTCCTGGGCTCGGGCTCACTTTGAGAGGGTTGTTAGCATTCACTTGTGCAGGACTGTGATAAAACACTATGGACTCTGTGACTATTAGCTTTATTTGGGGCCTAAAAGGTAAAAATATAACCTGCTGGAAATTTTCTTAGAACGTTCCTGACATCTGTGAATCACAGAGGTACGTATGTGGACTCCAAGCCAGCCTTTCTTGTTTCAGGGTCAGAGCTGTGAAACCTGTGGGATCCGAATGCACTTACCTTGTGTGGCCAAGTACTTCCGGTCCAGTTCTGAACCCCGCTGCCCTCACTGTAGCGACTACTGGCCCCATGAGATACCAGGTTGGTAGTCCCAGGAGCTCAAGGGATAGCACCCCGTGTCTAATCCCTGGTGCTTCTCAAGTCCCTAAGTTAAAGCAGCCTTTAGACCAACTTGCTTGCACATTTCCAAAGGGCCCCTAGGGCCCTACAGACATCTCTGGAGCAGCCTGAGGATCTGACCGAGAGAGATGTTCTCTGGCAGCGCCTCAGGAGGGGCGGGAAAGCAGTGTCCACAGCTCCTCAGCTTGTGGCCTGTAGCTTCGGGCCCGCGCTGCCATCCTTGCAGGATGGGTGGAGGGATTAGCAGTGACAACGGCACAGACAAGGTACAGAGTCCTGTCGCACAAGGAACGGAGCTCTGGTCATGAGCTGCCCTGCACCCAGCCCTACCAGTCACTGTGTCTTCCTTCCTGGGCTTCTCTGTACACAGAAGTCTTCAACCCTGACAAGGAGAGGGAGTCCAGCACCTCCAAACCCAACAAAACGTCCTCGCGATCCAGGCAGCATTAGTGGCGTGCACCTCCTGCATTCAGGAGGACGTCCCCTGCTTGGAAGAGAGGCAGTCGGGGCTTTACTGCTGGAGATGTCTCTCTTGATCCTGCATTCACTTCTGAGCAGATTTGGAATAAACTGTACTAAGCAGTTGCTGTAACCTCTGTCTGTGGTCTGTGCCTCTCTATGTGAGCCACTGTGTGGTGGCCCGTCCTTCTTTCCCACTTAGGTGACAACTCAGAAGTCCTGCCTGTGATCCCAGGCTGATGACATCAGCAAAGCTCCCTCTGCACCTCAATACCTGAGCCTCAGTCCCCACCTTCTGTCAGTCATCCATAAGCCTCGCTTGGCCTCCCTAGGGTCTGGGCCCTCCACTTGCCCAGGGCACAACGGGCCTGCATGCCCGTGGGCATCCCCACCCCAGGCCCCTTTTGCTTCCTTTGGTGAGTGCCCGTCCCACCTATCCACCTGCTCCTACTGGAAGCCAGAGTGTTGGCCTAAGTGCCTCCTGCATCCTCAGGCATCAGAGTCTCTCTGTCCACAGCTTCTGCCCCTCATCTTCAGCTCCTTGTTGGTCCTAGAGCCCTCCTCCCCCCCCCCCCCCCCGTGGGGGTCTGAACAGGGCATTCCCAGGCTAAAGACCCTTTGCCTTTCCATTGACCAAGGACTTGACTGTGAACTCCACGTGACCCAGACAGTGGGCCCTGCACATGTCTACTTCTCCTTCCCCACTTTTCAGCAGCCCGGCAGTGCAGACCCTAAACGAGACTCCCTGGGTTTTGTCTGTGAACCTTTGCACGCATTACTCTCTCGGATACTCTCCCATTTCCTGCTTCTCCTTGTGCCTGTTTACTGCTGCCACCTCCAGCCCTCGCCCATCTCCCTGCAGCTCCTCCATCATCACACTTGTCACACTCTTATAGCTCCCTCTCTCCCCTCCTCCATGCTAATCAGGACCCTTCAGTTATAAGTAACAAAACCCAACTCAAACTGGCTTCTATGAGAAAGGACTTGGCTTCAGGAGAGGCTTGATCTAGCGGCTCCAATGATGGCCCCCAGTGCCCGTATTTCTGTCTGTGTGGAGAAGGGTCTGGCAGTGCCTCCTGGAACTACAGGGAAGAGCCCAGGCCACACGACCTTCACTGCCAGATGGAGGAGTCTGGAACATTCTGTAAGAGTTTCAGCTGGGGGGCGCTCAGGAGTGAGGAGGTAAGATGCATGTTTTAGGAACTTTTCGTGAAAGAACTGGGGTAGGGGAGACTGGACTCTGAACGGCAGCGGCATAATCATGTCCCGTCACCCCCTGCCTTACACTGCTTGTGCGATCCAGGCTCCCCCTCCGCTCTCTGCCTTGATGTCCTGACTCCTATGTGAGGGCCTGGGTACCTACTTTTGGGAGCTCACTGATCAGGTCTCACAGGCATTTCCAGACTCCTGGCTCATTCAAGCTTCAAATCCTAACTATCGAACAAATCATGTTCCAACCAGTTCACCCTGTTGCCACTTTCTCACTTCCACAACATTAGCACTAGCTGTGTTATCTGCCCCTCGGGCCTCCGCCCTGAAGGGAACACCGATGACACCGCGAGGCCCACTGCCGGCCCTGTGCACGTGTGATGGGCTCGGCTCTGTGTGTGCTGCCTGTCCTCGTCCACCTCACAGAGCCTCGTAGCCACACTGGACCCTGGACGCTAGGATGTCAGATTTCCCATATGACAAGGGAGCTGTTTCACTGGACTGTTCATCTACACCCTAACTTCAGAGTCCCTCTGTAGTACAGTGTAGACAGCAGTGGCGTGAGCAGCAGCTGCAACAGACAGGCTCACAAGTCCCGGCTGCTGATGGGAGTTGGCGCTGCAAGGCACCTGTGGGCCGCAGCCAGGGCTGAGTGGTTCTTGCAGCCCTCAAGTCATGGCTCCTTTGAAGTAAGGGACTGCCACTCCTCAGTCATGATGTGCTGGGCACAGGGACATTCCTACCGTAGTCCTCACTTCCTATGGGCACCATATACAAAATCCACTATCAGTAATGCCAGAGGAGAATGAGCAGCCTCACAAATCACGGATCACAGCCTGCTGTGTCTGCTCCAGCTCCAGGCTCGGTGTCCCCACCCTGTCCTCCCTGTCACACATCTGCATTAGTGCCATGACCCAGCAGGGCTCCGGGCCTGCCTGTATTCTGATGGTATGTGAGATTTCCACATAGCCAAAGCTGCGGACGTGGCTCATGCACAATCAAATGCTTCACAGGGCATTCCAGGTGGCATAATGTCATTTTAGTATTTCTGTTCTACCGCCTAGGGTCTTAAAGGCTCACAAGTAGCTCTCCAAGGTATAAGAACTGGTCTCCCTCTGTCTGGAGCAACAAAGGAAGGAAAGGTCAAATGTGGGACTAGTTGTCTCCATCAACAATTGTTTTTTGCCAAGAGACCAGAATTGCTAGTGCCGGCTAATACTACAAAATAATTTTGAGCTACAGAAAAACTGTCCCTTGTTACTACAAATAATGGAGTCCTGGTGTGGCACTGTGGGTTAATGTGCCAGGCTGCAAAGCCATTTGAATTGCAAGGTTGGCGGTTCAAGCTCACCAGCCGCACCTTGGAAACCCTACACAGGATAAGCCATGACTTGGAACCAACTCGACAGCACTTCACAACAACGACAATACAAATAATGCTGTGATGGCCACTTTCTACAGTAGGGATTACTAGACCCAAAGGTGAGCTGCCACACTTCAGGGTCTTGGTTTCTGCTGAAAGCCGGCGGCGCTGACCTCTACAGCACAACGGCCTTCAACCAGTTGTCAACGTCCGTGCTAATTTAGTAATACGCATCTTGGTTTTATTTTCACATCATCAAGTAGTAGTGAAGCTGCACATTAAAAAAAATTTAAAAAAAGTTTATTCGTTTTCAAAACGGAAGACTGAATTTGTACCTTATAATCTCTATAGGATACAGCACTGGACCACAATGTTTAAACCACAAGGTCGGCAGTTCAAACTCACCAGCCGCTCCTCAGAAACCCTATACAGGGTCGCTGTGAGAATAGATTTGATGGCACTCAACAGCAACAACAACATATACACACACAGTCTACAGTGTGTCCAGGTGTGCTGCTATAGGATAAGCACTGGACAGCTCACCACAAGTTTGGTGCCCAAAACCCAACCGCTCCTTGGAAACCCCACACAGGGTTGCTAATGGGTTGGAATCGACTCACGGCATTTAATAACAATCACTTGGTAGCATGAATGTCGTCAAAATGTCCACCAACGTGGTTCTCCCAACAAGAGCCAGTGGCTGGGCTATGCCTGCCTGACTTTAATCAGGGAGTGGAGAGACTTTAATGGTTAAAACAGAATGCCATCTGAGGCTGTGAGCAGGTTTGCAAGCAGCCACGTGCCTTTAATGTAGTTCCCACGGGAAAGGTGATGAGAACAGGTGAGAGCGTGTAGGTGCTGGGGGTAGCTGTTTCCAGGTGTGCACAGATGAAAGTCCATTAGCTATGGCTGTTTCCAGGTGTGCACAGCTGAAACCCCTCAAGCTGGGTAACTCTCCCCCGTAGAAGTTCAGCACCTGAGTGCACAGGTGAGGCCCCTGCTGTAATCACAGCCACACCCAGCCACCACACCAGGTAAGTCACGGTCGTAGTTAGAAGGCCTGTAGAGGAGCAGCCACTGATGCTGCACTGACACAGCTCAGTGAGCCCTGGGCATGTGCTACTGCCCTCCTCCTCAGGAGACTTCGGCACCGATGGGACTTGTCCCAGGTTCCACAGTGAAGTAGCGGAGCTGGGGTTGGAACACGGGAAATGAAGCCCCTGCACACACTGCTTCAGGTTTCCTTGTGGCCAGGCTTTGGGGTGGGTATGCCGACGTCCTTCTTGTGTGCAGCAAAGGTCTGTCCAGGTACAGGCTTCGTTCAGTGTGTCTCCCGCCCCTTGTATCCAGCTACGACCACCAGAAGCTGACCGAGAAGCTCAAGTCCAGAGCTCGAACATAGTGCCAGTGCTTGACAGGGATGAATAAGATCTCACCGGGAGACAGGATGCAGGACAGGTATGGAGCCTCAGCAAACTTGGGGAACTTCTCCAAATCGGGGTTCTCCACATCAACCTGTACAAACAAAAGGACTCATTTCCCAGGCCTGACTGGGTGGGAGTGTCTGCTGCAGCTCCACAGTGGGCCCCGGGGTCCTACCTGGCTTGTGTTATGGAGAAGGTGTGAGTCATGAGGATACAAGGCCTCCGAGTCCCGTGGGGAGTACAGCTGGATGTACTTCCTCCCGATCACCTGGGGAGAGACAGGCACTAGTGGTCCACTGCTGCCCCCTGAGTGGCTCTGCATCCCTGAAGCCCCTCACTGCTCTGTGCACTCACTGTCCACTGGGCCCCACCACCCATGTGCTGAGAGTTTAGAGCCTGGGCTTTTTCTCCAAATCGATTAAGAGTCCATGAAAAACTCATGGTTACAGCTACCAATAATGAAACATTATTTCAAGTACTTTGTGCATGGGGCTTGAGTCGGTACTGACTCATTGCGACCTTGAGGAGAGGCTGGTGGGTTTCACTGCTGACCTTGCGCCACACCAGGACTCCAGAACAAGCCTAGGAGGGAGCTGATCACCACACCCACTTACAGACGAGGACTGGCACAGAAAGTTAGTGCTAAGTGAGTGCCCAAGTTGACAGAGTCAGTAGGTGACAGAGCTGGTGACACCAGGCAGTCTAAGACTCTTACTGTACTGCTTTGTGGGGCCTGTCAGCTGGGCTGTAAGAATCTTCTCATTTATTAAATCTCCACCTTCAAAACCCAATGCTTCACAGCCATGGTTAGATGCTCCTCCTCTCTCAACACACACCCTCCCTGAACCCTTATTTGGAGGGAAAATTCCCACAGGAAGAAGCTGGCCTGGTTCTGAGGGAGTAGCCACGTGTGGAGCTGCCCCACCGTGGTGCCGGGCACCATAGCGCAGCAGCTCCCACCTGAGCGAGGAAGTTTTGCTGGGGATCCTGATGAAGTGGGGAGATGGTGCCTTGGGGACCAAACCAGGCATTGATGGTGATCTCGTCTTCATCCCCATCGCCCAGGCAGCAGTAATCGGGAATGCTGATGTCCTGCTTCAGCTCTGGGATCTGGGGGTGTCAGGGCAGATGAGGCAGGTCAGACACGCAGTCCAGAACTCACTGACCACAGGGTCAATGATGGGCCACGTGTGCAAGAATGCCATCACTTTGCACCTCAACATCGGCAGCTCGAAACCACCAGTGGTTCCGCAGGAGAAAGATGAGGCTTTCTGCTCCCGTAAAGACTTGCAGCCTCAGAAACCCTGTACCGGGTCGTTATGAGTCAGAACCGACTCCACAGCACACACCCATCACCATGAGTATTAGGAAAGAGTTGTAATTTTATATTAAGATCCGTTTCCATGTTGAATGCATTTCATATTTGTTTCCCTTTTAAAAACCCTGACATCAGCACTTTCTATTTAAAAAACAAATCAGTTTATAACTGTTTAAAGAGTTCGTTGTTTCTTAAAAATCAAATAAAAAGGGATTGAATATTTATCGAATCTTGGGAGGGGAAGATTTTCTCAGCTTTGCTAATGGTAAAAAAAAATCATAATTTGTGCATTTTAAGCAATTAGTAGAGGTCAAACAACTAGTTAACTCACTTGAACTAGTAAGTGAGGGGTTAATATACAAAGTTCATACAAATTAATAAGGAAAGGTAAGATTCTCATACATAAATGAAGAAAGTAAATGAAAACTAATTAGAAATGAGGTGGGTGTTTGGTCTTACTTGAAAATGAGCACAGATTTACCAGAGTGAGCCACGATGGCGAGGGTGTGGTGAAGGGGCAGCAGGATCCAGGGGCGGAGCCCAATACCACTGGGCTGGTCCTCCGCAGGGCCCAGGGGCAGCAGGGCTTCGAGTGCACACACAGTATCACAAGGTATCCTAATAAACCACCATCATTGTTTTCCACCCCTGCCCCTAGGTGTTCTGACATCTTAGCCAGGTGGATCACACAACAAAGGATGGCTGTCCTGGCAGAGGCAGGCCTGGCCCCTGGCCTTCAGCTTTCATCTCATGAGCTGTTCAGGTTCCAGATTTAAGGTCTTCTGGATACTCTTTCCCCAAAGCCCCACACAACCAACGCATTTCCAAAAGCTAGAAACAACTCCATTTCCCTGGCCTCCAAGTCTGAATGCCAAGTTTCCAAGTCTCAAGAATGTTCATTCTTGAGACAGTAGTCAGTGACCATCCCCCAGGGTGCCCCACCCATCACTTTAAGAACTGCCTTCTCAGACTCACTCTCGGGCCCTGAGGGGTAGTGCTCCCAGCTAGCATCCCGGTACAGAAATGGGGGTGAGGGTGAGGCGGGGAGGCAGACCGAACACCAAACTGGGGAATCATCGCCTCAAGATGAGACCTGCTCCTGGTATTTTTGCTTCTTAACTAAGAAGCTTTGAAAATGTCAAACACAAACTAATTGCTGGTACACCTCATTTTGTTCTCTCATTTTATTTGCATGTGAAAATAAAGTTGACTTTTTCCTCATTTGATGATGATACAGACTCATTACAGATGATTTTGGAAACTACAGAAAAGTTTCTGTCTCACTAGCCCACAGACAACCACTGGTAAATCTTTTGTGTCCTTTTAAACGTACTGAGGTCATTCTGTATGTATACAATCAGGTGTCCTGATTCTCTCTCTTACAACTGGCATCCACATCACCCCCGCCTCCTCCTAGCACCATGGGGCAGGGGGCATTGTGGCCCAGAAGCAGCTGCAGCAGCGTCCAGCCCCACAGCAGCCTGCCCCTCTTCTGGCTCCATGAGCAGTCTCTCCTACAAGAACCCTGCCACTCAGATTCTTCCAGAAACACTCCTCCCTCCCCTTTACTGGGGAATTCTGCTTCCAGCCTTGCCAAGTCGCCTTCATCTCAGCTCCAGCCATGTCCACCTCCTCTCTGTCTTCAACAAGTATACCCAAAGGGTCTTTTACATGGCCAGTCAGAACTGCGTACCCAGGGAAACCAAACTCAGACCCTGCCCACCAGAGGTGCCCAGGCTCAGGAGATGACCCTGTCACCAGGCTCTTGGTAGGAGCAGCATTCGGGCCTGCCAAGGACTCTGGGTATTCTCCAAAGCCATGCCTTGCCCTTCCTGGGTTAGATCAGAACCTGCTGTCCCTACCTGGCTCCCTGGGACCTGGCACATCACCCCCTGACCCTGCTGGAGCTGCTCCCAGCCCTGGGGTCGCTGGACTCAGCAGTCCTGCCTCAGACTTGGAGGCCTTGACCCTGGGTGAGGTGGATCCCAGGGAACCACAAGAGGGCCATTGGGTCCATGGCAGACAAAATTGTAGCCCCCAGTGGCAGCCACGGAATGGCATTACCAGAGCCTTTCCTGCCTCTGGAATCCCTGCAAAGGACAAACCTGTGAGAAGCTGACAAGAAGAGACACCTGGTATCCAGACTTACCTGGTCGAAGAGCTGGTGCTGGGCCAGGTACCCGACGTCCCCGGGCTAAGAGAAGCAGGGACAACAGAGACCCAGTGAGCGGCCATGACTCCTTACTTGCAGCTCTCAGCCCCTGCCATGCCTCCACCCCCGGTACCCCAGCCTGCTTTGTTCCCCCCACCCTCACCCCCGCAGGTCTCCCTCCTGGGCCTCAGGAGCAGGGTGGGGTAGCTGAGGGCAGTCACTCCTACCATTCCCATGCTTCAAGGCTCATTTCCTCAAACACACACCAAAGGGGCTGCACACATGCAAGGCCATGTACACAGAGGACTTGAACTTTGCCTTGGCCATAATGAGCTCTCCAGGTCCATCTGTACACATCTAGCTCATCTCTTCTGATGGTGACCTAACATTTCAGACAGGATCTCACCCACCCCCTGCTGCTGATTCCGAGTCAGTGACACAGGACAGAAGAGAACTGCCCCATATGCTTTCCTAGACTGTCACCTTTACGGAAGCGGCTGGTGGGGTCAAAGCACCAGTTCTGAAGTTAACAACCCAATGCTTAATCCACTGAGCCGCTATGGTTCCTCTAGACAGGATATGTATTATGTATTCAACTATCCCCCTACTGGTAGACAGATTGTTTTGCTAAATGTTTTGTTAATGTTTCACTAAATATCCTTGAATACCAGCAGTCCTTAATTTTTGTGGTGCAGACTTCCAAACACCAAACAAGTTAAGAGGCAATGGATGTGCACTGTAACTTTTAAAACTTCCTGTCAGGTTGTTTCCCAAAAGGTCACATCATGTAGACCTAGCAATTCCATTCCTATTTTTCATGAGATTAAAAAAGCAGAAACAACGCCCAAGTTCCACAATTGATGAATGAAGTTCACCCCACAAAGGAAGAGTATCTGGCCGTCAAACGGGATGAAGTACCTCTGCAGTACATGGTATACTACATGGTACAGTATAGACAACCTTGGAAACATGCTCAGTGAAAGAAAGAAGTCAGATACACAAGACCATCCACCTATGCACTGGTAAGAAATGTCTACGTTACCATGACTAATTGTAACTGTCACAACTATAAAGGGAGACGTTCTGTAACAAAAAGGGAGAAGTAGTTAATCTTACAGTCCAGGAACAGAGGACTCTAGGGCCATCAAGGGAGACGAGCACTAGTGGAATGCAGGACCCTATTCAGTGAAACAGTGACACCAGAGATGGAGGCAGAGATGAGGACATGGAGAGAGAGAGCAGCTGCGGACTCTGGACTCATGGGAAGAGAGGGACTGAGTGCTGGCGGCCAGGAGGCAGGCTTGCAGAATGTGTCCTTTGGTTGTTTAAATGATTATAAATTCCTGAGTGTTTCTGTGTATATTCATTCTCCCACCCCTCAAAGAAACAGACACAATAAAAACTAAAAAAAAACCCAAACATACACACACACACACACACACACATGGTCAAATTCCCTAAGAAAGCATGGTTCTGACTGAATTTCCAGTCTCAAAATCTGGACCTGAGGCAGCAGGATCTTGAACTGTGGCAGGGATAGAATACCTTGCATTGCAGTGTTCAAAAGTGACTACTTTAGATTGATTAACCAGTGGTGAGGATAGGTTTAAAAATGTATTTCAATCAGAGTAATTAGCCAAGCAGTTAGATACGTGAGAAAAGTGGCCAAAATATATGCTACCTCTCTGGAAGGGAGCTAAAAGAGTGCATCAGGAGCAAAGTAAAAATAAGTAAGTTATCTGCTGCAGACACAGTGAGAAAAGTTAAGCTTCATTCTGTGCCTCATGCTATCTGAAAACAGAAGACGTGCTTTTAAAAGTGATTTGACTTAGAGTCCAGGTCCTAAGTGAACCTCTAAATGTATGTATATTTTAGTAATTATATAATTTTTGATATAATTTATTACAGACAATGTTGCCTTCAAACCCATGGTAGACATAAAATTAAGACATAAAATATGTAAAAAGGAAAAGATGCATGATGTTCGCTAAACTACATTAGTCTAAAATTACTTCCTGAAAGAATGCATCTTTAAAAAAATTAAAATGGAATTGTGGTTTTGGAAAAAAATTTACATTCTCATTCAACAAGTTTTATACGTACTTTTTAGTAACACTGGTTATTCTTCTCACAATATGTCAACATTCTCATTATTTCCATTCGGATTACTCAGTTTCCATTAAACTACCTTCTTATCTTTGGTCTAGGGTAAATGCTATCTGTTAGCAGTTGTCCTATAGATTTGTTTCTTCTTTGAGTGCTTGGTTGCCTTCTTTCTTTTTTGTTCCAGATGTATACAGACCAATAGTTTGCATCTTAGAAAGTCACTTGAAAGTTTTTAAGACCGCAGATGCTACTCACCAAGTTAGAATGCATAGCATTATGTTTATGTTGTGCCAACTGATCAAATTTCTCCCATGGAAGGATGTTTCCTATCTTTTTAATTCCCTGTGTGGCACTTTCAGAACAGCATTGGGCTGCTAACCACAAGGTTGGTGATTCAAACCTACCAACTGCTCCTGGGAAACCCTATACAGGGTAGATATGAGTTGGAACCGACCGACTCCACGGCACTTAACAACAATGTTGTTGTTGTTAAGTGTCGTGGAGTCGGTTCCGACTCATAGTGACCCTATACAGGGTTTCCAAGGCTGTATATCTTTACGGGAGCAGAATGCCTTATCTTTCTCCCGCGGAACCGCTGGTAGTTTCAAACTGCCGACCTTGCGGTTAGCAGCCCAATTCGTAACCACTCTGACAATAGCAACATTAAATATCCAGCAATACACATGTATTCCTGTTGACACTTTTTAAATGCAGATAATACAAAAACAGTCTGTATAAAAATACCACCCTTATTATTAATTATGAGTATGAAGATGGTGACTTGTCCAATATGGTTCCAACAATCAAGACCACTGCTTGCTCACCTTCATTTTCCATTTTTATCTCCTAGACTTACAGTTCCACTCTGATATTTTCAGTTGTTGCGTGATTTGCATTAGATCTAGTACTGCTTCTACTCTAGTCTATGACAGTACTGATCACATTATGTTTAATATGCATTTGTCATTCTCTAAAATGAATTGTAAGCTACTTGTGGGCAGGAGCTATCTTATTTGTCCAAGAACACCTACCTCCCATGCTTGAGAAACTAACAATGTCTTTTCACGTGGATGACGCTTATTGATTATTGAAACTAAAGGATCCTCAAAGTAGAACTTTATCTGTGGAACAAAATATTTTTAAAAATATTTCCAACAGTCTTTTGCTTTTTTATTGAACTACGAAGGCTTCCTAATTATTCATATTCTCCACAATGTAGACATGAGGTCCCTCTGCCTCTACAGTTATTAATTTTTCTCATTATGAGCTTGGATATAGTACTTTGAATCATTAATTTATTTTAATAGTCATGTTGACTACCTACTATGTGTCAGACTCTGCTGAAACTTCCATCAACATTAACACATTTTTCTAAAATGTTGGTAAGTATTCAATATTGCCTTTATTTGCATTGCACTTTACAGCTTACAAACACTCTCACAGTTGCGATTTCATTGAAACTTCCAAAAATTTATAAAGTGGATGTTAACTGTCTCCAAAAAAAAATAAATAGCCTTGGAAATCCTACACAGGATAGCTATTAACAACAACCGGGGCTAAGGAAGGGCAGAATTGGGGTACAGGGTTTCTTTTCAGGGTGAGGAAAACCTGTTCTGGAATTAGGTAATACGCACAATCTTATGAATATTCTAAAACCATTTAATGAACAAAACTCCCCAGAGACTGAGCTGGCCTCCCCCTCTCCTGCCTGCCTTGCTTGGACCATCCTTTTGCCCAGACTTGGAAGGCTAACTCCTCCGAATGCCTGCTCCCACTGCCACCCTCTCTTCCCTAAGGGTTAGAGGAAACAGGTCAAAGCCACACACCTCATCCACGATGTATTTGCTGATGAACTCGTTGACAGTCATGAGTCTCTGGGACCACTCTTCATCTGTGTACCTGGAACCTACTTCCACAGGGACAGTTCGGCAGCCAGCGATTTTTTGGAGGTATTCCAAACTATGGGGAAACCGTTCATCATTACAGTCACGGCTACCACACATGGGTCCCACCAGTGCTGGGAGCTGTGTGAAGTGTGCTGCACACCCAGCCTCTCCCACTTCACCCTCACGGAACCCCCGTGGGAGAAACTACAGATGCGGACACTCAGGCATAGGGAGGTGAGGCTGCTTGTCTACACCTGCACAGCTAGTACACAGCACTTTGTAACTTTGCAGATGGAGCCAAAACAGCTGGTTTCCTGGCATTCTTGCTGCTCTATTTCCCAGCATGCTTCTCTCTTTGCTCATGTTTACACTAAATGGGGAAATCGTCTCTGAGCAAATGCTGGACAGCACTGGGGGTGGCAAAGTGCCTGGCCTCTGAACTTCAGTAGCCCGGGACAGACTTCAGGCCCAGTCAGTTACAGACCAGGGAACTTTAGCGAGTCACCGCACCTCTCTAAGGCTCCTGTTCCTCACGGGGATGATGGCATTACCTGCCCTGTGAAGATATGGCATGAACCGATTATGGGTCAGAACTGACTCGACAGCACTTAATGACAACAAATATTGCTTTTATAGAAATACTGCAATATAGAGAAAATTCTAACCAGGGAGGATAAAATGAGGTAAAACATGGGCCTACTATTTACTGAAACTACAGGTTCCAACCCTCCACACAAAGGCAGGCCGACTGGAGCGACCTTTCTCAGACCCAGGGTCTCGCTTCCAGACTTGTGCTCAGCAGTGCATGACGGACAGCCTCAGCTAGTCAGAGGTGGGACAGGGAGGGTAAAGCACACATGCAGACGCAGCAGCCACAGGGTCTGTGGATACCCAGGGGTGGGGAGCCTCCTCTTGGGTTTTCTTTCTGTTAAGAAACCCCAGGGCTCCAACTAGGTCCATGGGATTCTTAAGATGCTGCAAACTTGCATGACAGACTTGGATTGTTATATCCTTTACCATAAATTCAGAGCACTGCACGGTTTATTCTTTTTAAGCGATCATCCCAGGGACTGCATTGACTTGGGGAGGAGGGAGAAGGTTGGGGAGCCCTTGAGGCACCCTAAAATGGGAAAAGGAACCTCACTGTCCTTGAGTGGCCACTCACCTCCACTTCTTCATGCACGGCCAGTGGTTGGCCACGCCTTCCAAGATCACAGGTCTCGCGGGAATCAAATAGTGTTTCCTGAAATACTCGAGGGATGGGCAGTGGAGTCGGGGAACTGTTCTTTCTAACGTCACATCTGGAATCAAAACGTGATCACTCCTTGCTTTCTGTTTAAAAACAAAACAGAACAGAGTGACAGCCACTGCAGAAAGTCAAAGTTTGAGGCCTTCCATGAGGAATCGGCGACACTGGTAGGAAAACAATCAGTAAGACAATTTCGTTAAAAAAACATGTCTGGTCAAATTATGAAAGTACTATACAGCTAGTATGGCACTGTAGGATAAGCACTGGACTGCAAACTGCAAGGTCAGTAGTTCAAACCCACCAGCCACTCCTTGGAAACCCTAGACAGGGTCGCTATGAATCAGAACTGACTTGATGGACTCCTTAAGGAGTCCGCGGTGGATACGAATCGGTCTGTTAACCTCAAGGTCAACAGTTCGAAACTACCAGCTGTTCCGCGGGAGAAAGATGAGGCTTTCTGCTCCCATAAAGATTGACAGCCTAGGAAAGCCTGTGCAGGGTCACTATGAGTTGGCTCTGACACCACGGTACTTAAAAACAACAACAACAACAAGGAGTCCTGGTGAGGCACTGTGGGTTAATGTGCTAGACTGCAAAGTTGGTTTGAATGGCAAGGTTGGCAGTTCAAGCTCAGTAGCCACTCCTTGGAAATCCCATACAGGATCGCTATGAGTCAGAACTGACTCGACAGCACTTAACAACAACAAATAATGCTTTTATAGAAATACTGCAATATAGAGAAAATTCTAAGCTCCACCATCAAACAAACATATTCTTCCGTTTTCCTGCATACTCCTTTCCAACCCTTTCACACACACTTTACATCGGTCCGTGGTAGTTAAATTTGTGTTGAAAAGCAGCCCTAGCTCTCTTACGCATGAATTCACACCAAGCAGGTCCCCTGCTGCTGTCCAGTCCCTCCACTTTCCTCAGGGACTGTACTCCCAAACATAAGGCCTCCTGAGCAGGTAGCCTCCTGAGTCTAAGCTCCAGTTACCTGCTAAGAGGTCAGGTGCCGTATGTCAAGTTCCCAATGGTGGAGTGCAACTGCTCACATGTTCTCTCTTTGGAAGGCTTTTATTCTCATGTGACCCACCATCACACAGGCTGTCTCTGACTGACCCATGGGAAGCTGCCAACCCCAGGGTCTCCCCACAGACAAGGTGGTTTGTGCTGCTCCTCCATTCCTGGCACATCTGGGCCATTGCTAGCACTCAATACAGCTGCTGAGCAAAGCCTACTCCGAGTCTCAGCTCTTGCCCCGCTGCCCACACAGCCTGTGCAGGAACGTCAACCTGGCCTGAAGTCCCTTCATATTCCCTGGGGAAAGACCTGGCATGGACAAGATATGGATTCTGGGAAAAGGGGACAGTTGTTCCTTCACCTGCCTATGGCCACCACACCATTTCCTCAGTCCCTCAGCAGCCCTGCGGACTGGGTAAAACACCATGTGCTAAGGTGTCCCAAAAGGGGGCGTTGTGCTGCTTTGCCGTTTGCATCTTTTTTTCAACCAGATGTGAAGTCAAACCTTTCTTCATATGCTTATGTGACCTTATACAACGTCACTGAGTTGGAACTGACTCAACAGCACATAACACCAGTTCTGACATGGTGCTGTAAGATAAGCACTGGACTGCTAACCACAAGGTCAGTGGTCCAAACCCACTGGCTGCTCCTCAGAAACCCTATACAGGGTCACTGTGAGTCATAACCGACTGGATGGCAAGCTCCGCAGTGAGGACAGGGAGCAACACTTCAGCCAGCTGAGAGGAAAAGGCTGTGGGAAACGGGCTAAGCTGGTGGCAGCTCACCACACCACTGCTTTCCTCTGTCAGGAACCCTCCTCCCCTGGAAGGGCACAGCTTCACGGAACCAGAAAGCACTGAGGAGCTGGCTCAAGCTGCTCTGCTGTCCAAGCCCATGGACGGAGACAAAGGGGGCTTTAGAAAGTTCATGGAGGAATTGCTGAATCTTTGCATTCCATTTTCCCACAAACTTTCGGAAGCCTACTCGTGCCAGTCTCAGCCAGCATGTGACGACCTCACCCGCCCCCCCCAGACTAGATACATGTGGACAAACGCTGTGGGACTATGCCACAGGGGGCCCACACCTTCACACCTTTGTGATGGGTTGCTCCCGGGCAGGGCTGTGGGCACGCCTTTCATCAGCCAGCAGGTTCGCCTGGAGGACAGCGGACACCTTGATGAGGATGTTCCCCAGGATGGCTGCCCCCATCAGCAGGCCCATGTCGCAGACCCTCAGGGCTGCAGACACGGCGGCAGTGTCTCCTGGTGCTTCACACAGACACAGGGCTTTCAGAAGGCAGCCAAACGAATAAACCTGGCGCCAGCCTTTGTCCACGTCCCGCCATGGCCCCGTGTTGAGCTTCTCCCACGAGTAGTCCAGGATCGCCTCGCTTGTCTGCAGACACTCACTCCTTCTGCCCTCGTAGAAGGACTCGGTGGCTCGCTGCAGCAGCACCACCACGCTCCTCTCCACTTGCCCACTGAGCTCCAACTTCAGGGCTTCTTTTGTGGGTGGCAGGAGCACCCTGAGGGCCTCCCAGAAGGCACCTGTTCCTGCCTGGGCGTCTCCAAGACAGCTGGTGCCTTCTGCCATATGGCCCAGTCTCACAGTACCTGGTGGAGGAAGAGGCAGAAGTTTACAGCCACATGCAGCCTTGTGTCTAGAATACGATCCCACAGTCCTGTTCTTGTCCTTTCTAACACATGTCTCATCTGACAAGTTTTCAACAAGCATCTTCTCTGGAAGCATGAACTCTGAGAAAGGACTCAAGTATCTGGGAAGCACTGGATACTGGATACATGTTTGTTCAGGGGACATGCTGTCTTCCTGCCTGGAATGCCACCAACATCGGTCCACTCACCTGGCAAACTCCCCTCAATCTTAAGGCCCCTTTAAAATGGCCCACGATGTGCAGTTGGAGAAACCTTGGTAGCGTAGTGGGTTAGGAGTTGGAATCTGCCAGTTACTCCGTGGGAAAAAGATGAGGCTTTTTGTTCTCCTAATGATTTACAGCCTTAAAAACCCTATACAGGATCCTTGAGAGTCAGAAAGGACTTGTTGGCACACAGTCACCCCTGTGTGCAGCTCACCAAGACCTCTCCGAACATGTTATGAGTCAGAGCCTTTCTGTAGCACTTGTCTCAAGATACTACAAAGACCTGCTTGTCTGTCTCGTCAGGATTTGACTGGGAACTCCTCCAGGAAAAGCACCTGCTTCCTTTCCCTCCATTTTTCTGTAGCCTAAAGTTAGGTCCTGGCTTGTAGTAGGCACTCCATAAGGGTATTCAAGGAATGAGTTCTTACCTCAGCAAGGAACAAACCTGGAAATACAGAACACCTATCCAGAAAGGGGAGTCCTCAGGGGTACACACGGTTAATGTGCTTGGATGCTAACAGAAAGGTTAAAGGTTAAAACGGGTACCTTGGAAGATAAGTCTGGCAATGTATTTTCGAAAAATGAGCCTCTGGGTGCACTCTAAGCTCTGTTATTAACAAGCACATCAACTATTGGTACCACACCCCAAGACTCAGCCTCCTGGAGGACTCAAGAGTGTCCTGTGTAAATTCATTAACAGCTTTTTTAACTTCCTGGAAAGCTCTACAGTCTAAGCTCATAGGGCTGTTTCATGCATTGGTACATGGCAGTGTGGGGGCCTCATAAAATGGACCCACCAGCTGGCCTCCCTGGGTGTCTTATCCCTGAGCATCCATGAACCTTATAAAGCAAATTCGAGAAGTCGTGCCTTGAGCATCCAACAGTCCTCAGGGCCCTAAAATTCTGGCCTCTCACAAAGGTGCCCCAAATGACCACTCATCCACCAAACTATAAAACTGACTTCCACTGGGGCCTGACAGAGCAGCTTTGTAAACCCGTCTCTTAGAATGAATTTCTAAAACAGCCTCCCAGAGGGTTTTAAATGGGCTGCACACTAGTTTTCCTGGGACACAGATTATGACTTTTATACACTGACCTCCCAGATTGGCCTTACAAAAGGGTACCTCCTGGATCTTACAAAGACAGCCTGCTTAGGGACCTCACAGTGCTGCTTCAGGAAGCTGGTCCCCTAGATGGCCTCATGTCTGGTCTTCACAAACTGGCCTTGGAGACCAGGTTGCACCATGTTGGCCATGTGAAAGGAATTCTGGGAAATAGGCCTATTGGCTACATGAAATAACCTTAGAAAATTTTCAGAGTTCCTCAGTGAACAACCTTTGACAAACTTTTTGTTGTTGTTGTTAAGTGCCGTGGAGTCAGTTGCAACCTACAGTGACCCTAAACAGGGTTTTTGAGGTTTCATAGCGACCCTAAACAGTGACCCTAAATCTTTATGGGAGCAGAAAGCCTCCTTTCTCCCGCAGAGCAGCTGGTAGTTTCGAACTGCTGACCCTGCGGTTCGCAACCCGATTCGTAACTACTACGCTACCAGAGCTCCCTTTAGTTACAAGCTTTTAGTGACACTTAAATTGGCATGGTCTTCCAGGTGTGGGAGCGTCAAGACAACTGTATGAGTTAGTTTTCAAATGGCTTTCCACACTGCTTCTGTATTGTTATTGTTACGAGACGTGGAATCGGTTCTGACTCAGCAACCCTGTACAGGGTTTCTGAGGCTGTAAATCTTCACTGGAGCAGAAAGCCTCATCTTTCTCCCGCGCAACAGCTGGTAGTTTTGAACTGCTGACTGTGAGATTAGCGGACCGATTCGTAACCACTACATTACTAGCCACCTGAAATGGCTTCCCAGAAGGCCTCATGAATTATCTTCAAACAAAAGTCTCCTTATATTGGCAACATAAAGCAACTTTCCATAGGGAAGTGGCATGTTGGCCTTATCCCTTTGAGTGGTCTTGTGGTCTGATCCCATAGGCTTTCCAGAATCCCTTGTCATTTGGCCTTTTAAATCGTCACACCAAAGAACCTTTGGGAGAGGAGCCATGTGCACCTAACTGAAGCAGTTTTCCAAAGTGGCCTTGTAACTTCTTTAAATACTTGTCTCCTTACATGGTGTTGCCTTGTCTGAAGGCCAGTTGAAATGGCCTCTCAGACTTTGAGACCTGTCTTCCGTAGACTTCCTTTATACTGATAGACATCTGTGGGCTGTGTCAATCAATCCTCTAGGAAGCAGCCTCTAGTTGGCTGTGAAAATGGCCTTTTAGGAAAAAGGGCCTTTAGTCAGGTTGTGTGAAACAACTTCCATTGACTGTATGAAAGTCTTCCAGAGGAGGGGCCTCACACAGGCTGTAAGCAGCAGCCTTCTGACAACTACACATGTGCCGTGGCCTTACTGTACAGGCTATGTAAAATTGCCAGCCTCCTGTCCTGGCTTTACAAATCAGCCTGCCAGCATGTCTCGTGCATTAGATCCGGGAAGGTGACTGCCTGATTGCTGAGCAGCCTAGTGGCTGTCTTTACTGACTGGCCTGCAGGGCTCCTTAAGGGACTGGATTGCCTTTTATCAAACAAACGGCATTCCAGAGGAGGGAGTCAGGTGTAAGCTGTATAAATAATCTTTCAGAAGGGTCCCAAAACTGGCCTCTCTGAGATCCATGAAAAAGAGCTTATTGTGTGGGCTGTACAAACAGCCTTCTGGTTGTTAGCTGACCTCTTCAGTTCTCACAGTGAGCCCTGTTGCAGAGTGGAACTGCTCCACAGGGTATTCTTGGCTGTAATCCTAATGGAAACTGACTGTCAAACCATTTTCTTTTGCGGTATTACAGGTGGGTTAAACCACCAATATTTAGGTTAGCAGTTGAGCATGAATTGCTTATGCCATCCAAGAATCTTGTTGCTAGGTATGCTGTTATGAGCTGTCAAGTTGATTTCAACGCATGTCGTCTTTTGCTGATGAGTTGATTCTGAATGAGCAGAGCCATAGAGGGTTTCCAAGAAGGGTTGGTGGGCCTGAACTGCCAACCTTGTGGTTACCAGTCCAATACTTATCTCACAGTGCACACCAGGGATCATATGACATAAAACTTCCCATAGGACTTCCAGCAGACTGCCACACCATTCTCCCATGGAAGGTCGGGAGAATCGCCAACTCAGACTAGCAACTGAGTGCTTATCCACTGTGCCACCAGGGTTCCTTATGCCAGATGCATCGAATCCATTCAAACCAGGTGTTATATTTATGTCTGGACAAATCAAACTGACACCTAGTTACCCTACATATAAGCCAGGTGACAAGGCCCGAGTGGCTTTGTATCCTCACTTCAAAGTCAATCTCCCAGTGGATGCCTTTGAAGCCCTCTTGCTGATCATAGAAAGCTCTGGGTTTCTTGTTGTGGTTCTTTCAGGGAGCAGGTTTCAGGTGCATTGAAGACGAGAGTGACCTATGTCCTGCCTTTCTAGGGTGGCCTTCCAGAGGGTCACATATATGGGCCTCATGACATGAGCTAACTTGCTGGGAGGGTCGGGCACAAAACAACTTTCCTAGTGGTCTCTGTTGGTTTAATTATTTAGCCCCTCAGAACTCTTTACATAAACGCTCGTTTGTTGGGATATGAAACGACCCTGAAAAGCGGGTCAGATACAAATTCAGAATGGAGTTTGTCCTGGTCTTATAAACCAGCCTCCTGGAGTCTCTCATTTGCTGTCCACATGCCCGAGACCGACCCAGCGGGTCCTACGAAGCCAACACTGACCCGCCACTCCGAGGCCGCAGGCCTTTCTCCCGCTCTCACCCAGGCGTCATCCCAAAGGTTCTTCTCCAGGACCATCCTCCCACCTTCCCCGCCCGCCTATTTTCAGGAACATGACAGAAGCCTGGTGGCGTGGAGACGACAGCTGGTATCTGCTTGTTGGAAAAGACACCAACCTGCATAAAACAACTTTCTCAATGGTCTGTCTTGGTTTAATTATTACCCGAACGCGACACCAAGAACTGCGCAGGCGCAAAATTCTTAGCCCCGAGCACGTGCCAAACAAAAATTACAGCCTACGAAGAGCACTGCGCATGCGCGGGGCCAGTCTTTCTCTTACCCGCTAAGAGCAGAGTAGATTCCGATTTATAGTGACCCTGTATAGGATTTCCGAGGCTGTAAATCTTTATGGGAGCCTCATATTTCTTCCACGGAACCCGGTGGTATTTTCGATTCGCTGACTATGAGATTATCAGCAACCACTGCGCTACCACAGATCCTTCCTATCGCTGGTAGCGCGGAAAAACAAGCGAAACAACCCGTGCAGCGACTTAGAGCGCACGCGCACTCCTTCTCTATTTTGAGAAGCTTTCAGGGCGCACGCGCACTCCTTCTCTATTTTGAGAAGCTTTCAGGGCGCACGCGCAGGCAGCCTTCTCACGTCATTCTAACCAGGGCGCCGGCGCAGTCCAGTCTTGCTGCTCCTGGCTTCCTCTGCTGGTAGGGAACCTCAGCTGTCAGCGTTCTGCACATGCTCAAACTTACCTTTCCTGCGTTTGGGTGATGTTGACTTGTCTCGTGTGGATCAAACTATCTGGCTCACGCTCTCCCCACGTAGAAAAAGACACTAGGAGTATCGATCATTCACCGTTCGTCTGACCTCGGTGGCGGGCCTAGGAGCGCCGAGTGATCGATGCTCTGACACTACCCCGCCCAGTTTAAAGGATTTAGGC